AGAGAGAAAAATGTAGTCTAGTTTGGTGAGAAGTAGGTGATTGTTTCTTGTCATTTGAGAGAAGGTATGAATGGAAGGGATACCAGCGAGAACTTGCATATCAACTAGGGATAACAGCTTGTTCAACAAAATCAAAACAGAGGGGTCTGATCTTGAGGTTGATGTTGATAGGTGATTAGTTGGAATAAGATTGACATTAAAGTCATCAGTAAGAATATAATTATCATTGCTGATGGAGGGGGACCAGGAATCAAGAAACAAAAGTCTCCTTTTCCTGTCCGGAGGAATATAAACAGTTTCAATTCTAAAGATATGAGAGTTGAGAGTAAAGTCTAAGATTAAGTTTCATTTATTTGTTGAAAAGGTGTTGATAACTTTGATATTGCGATTATTAATTAGAATAGCAACGTAGGGAGTCCAGGAGGAGAATGAGTGTCATTTTTTAGAAATAAAGGAGATATTTTATTTTTGAATATTGGTTTCTTGTAAAGTGAAGATGTCAATGTGATTGTACGTTTTAAGAAGATTGGTCGTATTTGAGAATTTGTGAGGGGTGACCAGATCTTTCACATTAAGAGTAGCAATTTGGAGATTTATTTAGGAAGAGAGATTTTGGATCGAGTATTGTGTTACTTGATGGGAGGTTAAGAAGATTTCTTTTTAGATTTTCTGTTTTGAACTAGTTGAAAGTCTAGTTCATCATTAGATGAGGTTGCCATTTCTACTGTTTCTTTCTGAGTAGTGGTGAGTTGATTGGAGTCATCCCGGAAAGAGGAAGTAGTATGTGTATGGTTGATTGAAGGTTGTTATGGGGAAGAGAGATTGTTGTCAGCATTAGAAGAATCCTTGGAAAGAATGATAATTTCTGTAGTCGACGTATCTGGGGGCTGAGATTATTGAGTTTGTAAGATGTCATTATTCCAAGGTTGTTCGACAGGAGGTTGATGTTTATGAGAGTTGTTGGGGGATTTGGAGAGATTAGAATTAGGATTTCTGACAGAGATATTGGCATTTTGAAGATTCTTACAGTCATCCCTTTTGTGACCTGATTTGTCACAGAAAGTGCAGAAAGGAGGAGTAGCTTTCCAGGTTATGAAAACATTAGAGGACTTGATTTTGATAGATCTAGGGATCTTGATACAGAAGGTGAGTTGATCTTCTTGGGTTGTAGTGTCGAAGGTAACTGACCACTTGTCTGAACAGAGAGAAGTGCCTTCCCAGAGTTTGGATTTGATAATGGCTACTTTTCCTATTTTATTGAAGGTTTCTTTGATAGTAGAGGTAATTTCATCACTTTGGGTGAGAGGTACCCCGGAAAGAGTGATAGAGAAGAAAATTTTTTGATTAGAGAAAGCTCTTTGAGCTTTTAGATTTTTGCCAGCAATAACGAGAATTTTATTTTCCTATTTCAGTTGATATTTTTCAGAAGCAAAAGCAACTTCTAGATAGATACATTTGCCATGAATGTATTTTAGCTTGGCACCAAATGCGTCAGTGCCAAATTGAAGATAAGAGGAGGAAATAAGTTGATTGTCTAGGATGAGTTGAAGTTACGAAATATCATATATGAGAGGAAAGTCACTATTTGTTTGAAGAAAGATACCATAATCTTTTGCGATGTTGTAAGTTGGTTTGCCCAAGGCATATCTAGCGGCATTGGCATAGGAAGAAGGTTTCTTTCATGAGAGTTTTTCTTTTGGATTTGTGGAAGACTTGGAGTTATCCAAAGAGATTTTCTGATTAGATTGGTGGGGCTGTATAGTGTGGGATCTCCTAATGTGATGGTGATCAACCATATTGTTGGATTCTGAATTAGGTAGGTTGTTGAAATTTTCATTACCATAATTATACATGTGAAAGGAGGAGTAATGGGGATAAGATGGAAAATTATCATACATGGCAGGTGGAAAAGGGGTTGGGGAATAGTAAGGAGCATGATGAGATGCATCTAGATTTTGATGTGAGAGAGAAAGCCATTCATCATGACCGGATGGGGTGCCGGATTCCGTAGTGAAGAAAATTCTTCGCTTGTTTTTTTCTTTAGTTTGCCTGGTAGAAGGATGTTCAGAATCGCTATCCTGGCTTTCTTCATCTGGAATAAATGCCTGGGTATGTTTGGAGACAAGATCAGAAGAAGTTTCATTAAGTTCTTGCTGAGAAGGAATACAGTTTTGAGTTTCGAAATTTTGTAAGGTATTGTTTGAGATACCTGTGAGATGTACGAGTGAAAGAGATGATATTTTTTTATCATATAATTTCTGATGACTGCTTTAAATATCACAAACTAATTTATAATGATGAATTATCTAGCAGAAATAAAGATAAATCAACAAACTAATAAAAGAATGCTATAAGATTAATAAAAAAGATGCTGATTATGACGATAAATATGAATACACAGTGAATCTGGATATAACAAATTTTGACTATAATGAAGTTTTTTTGATGTCCCAAAACTTTGTCTAATAAAGTTTCTCAGATATAACAAAGTTAATTAAGAAAACCTGGTTACCTGCTATAGCGAAGTTTTAAATTAGTTGGCTAATAAGAATATAACAAAGTTTTCTTATAATGAACTTCACTATATTATAATAAACTTCACTATATTATAATAAAGTGCATCTTATTATAATAAAGTTCAGCAATTTTTCCCATTAATGTAAATATGTATGTCAGTATGACATAATTCACTTAATATTTAAAAGTTTACAGTAAATCCTAGTCTGTTTCTTCATGATAGTTCAAGACGAAGTGATAAAACCTGCTAAGAACAAACATCATGCACTTCGTGACATTGAAAAAAAAGAAATCTGTCAAATAAAAAAAGACAGTCTCTTGATTAAAATAGCCAAATTAGCCAAACAGTTTGAAAGTGCCATACAAATAATTAGTGAAATTTTTGTCAAATAGTGACTACTGGCTTAATATTGATGAAATCTTCACCACTGATACATTTAAAAGAAGATATCAAAGCAGTTTTCCTAATATAGAGGAAGCATTAAGTCTTTGGGTAGAAAATATATTAAGTGACAAAGTGATCTTAACTGATTCAATTTTGAGAGAAAAAGCTAGAAAATTTGCTGTTTTGTTTAATAATTGCGAATTTGGTACAACTAATGGATAATTAGAAGAATTCAAAAAGAGAAATCATCTAAAATCTTACAAAAAGCATAGGAAAGTGAGAAGTGTCGATGTGGCCAAATTGTTCAAGCAATGTGAACATTTGAAAATTGATTTTATAAGGTTATAATGAGTGTGATATTTTTCATTGTAATGAAATAGCTCTGTTTTGGAAAATGAAATCTCAAACAATACTTGCTTGCATATTAGTTTTGGAAAAGAAATTATTGAAGGATCATGTATCTATACTCGCAACTTATAATATAATAGGAGAAGAAAAGCTACCTATACTGCTCATAAATAACTCAAATAATACTTGATCATTATGTGGAATTGATAAAACTACACTTGGTATATGATATTATTATAATAAATCCATCTGAATGCAATGCTCTATATTTGAAAGTTATCTTAAAAAGATTAACATGTTTCATTTAAAAAACTGCAAAATTATTTTGCTAACTAATGACATCCCTAGTCACAAAGTCAATGATCTTTGAATTATCCAATGTCAAACTTCATTTTTTACTTCCAAATGTATTGATCCAACTTCAATCACTTGATCAAGAAATTATTTATAGTCTCAAGATCTGCAAAACATTATTTTTAATTATAAGTTTTATTTCTTACTTAATTTACTTATTATTATTTAGGCATATTATCAGTGATTACTATATTCACATCTCATCCATCTTTATAACTAAATGACCCAACAATTATTCCAAAAATTACTATTCTTGATGTGATTAACTTCATGATTAAAGCATGGGATTGTATAATAATGTGAATAATTATATCATCCTGGACTCACATGGATATTTTACCAGTTTCTCTACCTCAATTCCTGGGACATGTGCTACAGAAGAAATTGAAATGGTTAAAAGAGGAATAGCAGATCTCATTCAGTGTTTGCCAATGGATGAACCAATCAACATAGAAGAGTACATAGATATTGATAGAAACAAAGAAATTATTTCTCTACTGATGAAAACATTTTATTCCAAGAGATTGTAGATACAATTAATCATATTGATACATTAGAAGAGGAAGAATCTTCTGAAAAATGAATTGTAACAAGCTCTGAAGCATTGTTGGGATGTGATAACATGCTTGCATACATTGCACAAAAGAATTTGAACATTGACTTTTCTGCTATAAACACACTTAATAATTTGAGAAAAAAGATTACTCAAACCAGCGCAGAATTGGCGTGACAAACCACTCTCGAGGAATATTTGACATTTGATGCGTAGTTCTTTATATTGTAGACAGTAAATTTTCTGTCTGATCAATAAAAATAATTATTTATATCGTAACCCACTTTAATGAAACTATAACAAAATTGAATAGACTTCTTTATAAAGAGGAAAACCTGGATATAACAAAGAAAAGGACCACTTAGTTGTATCCAGGTTCACTGTGTATTCCTTTTGAAAAATTTATCAACATTGAATATCTTGCATAAGGAGGGTTTGGGTTTATTTATAAGCAACTAGGTTGCACATCTACTTTGACAAATGGGATCATGAAGAAATAAATTTAAACGAAGAGAAGAGAGAAGGTTGTGTTGAAATCACTACACAATTCAAACGAATTACTCTGAGTTTATACGTGAGGTAAAAAATGCAATTTACTAAAATGAAAGCAAGTTAGCTTTTCTTTAATGCACTCAAAATTTTCGAAAAATAGATTCAGGCTGCTCTAAAGTTCAGTCTTGATTTTATTAAATATTATGGAATAACTAAAACACGATTGCACAATAGTGATGATGATGGTGATCTCCATAAATAATTAATTTAATTACGAAAAATTAACTTGGAATCAAAAATTAGATATTTGTTTGTACGATATAATCCAAGATTTAACAAAAATTTACAGAGAAATGTTTTTACATCGTGATGTTCATCCTGGAAGTATATTAATGTGGAACCGTCCTTAAATTGCTGAATTTGGACTCAGCATTCAAACAGATATAGAATAATCTAAGCAAGAAATTTGTGGAGTACTTCCTTATATGAGTCCGGAGGTGCTAAATGGAAAACCTTACACTAGCGCTGCAGATGTTTATAGCTTTGGTATGGTTATGTGCGAGGTTGTAACAGGTGAACGACTATTTTGTGAACATATTCGAATTTATCTACTTTATCAAAAATAACATTTTTTTACATTTTCAGCATTACACCGAACACATGAAGAAATTAAAGCTTTTCTGAAAATAGATAAGCAGAAACTAAAAGAATTTGATGAGGCGATAGAATCGTAAAAAATTATTTCCACGAATATAAACAAAAAACAACAAATCCACTCAAATGCAATTTACACGAGTCGAATGTTTACTTCAAAATAAATATCAATCCTAACTGATACAGGTATGTAAATTTATTTTATGTTCAATTAAAATGCAAATTTAGATTGATTTATATATCAAATATTTAGGTTCTACAAATGTTAATTTTTATGTTCCAAATGAAAGTAATTTCACTGTTTTCAATAAAATCAATACATGTACATGAATTGATGTGCATGGATAAAAGATATCGGTGCTAAATCAACGAATTATCAGTTTTTGCGTAACATTAGAGTTTTCCCGAGTCAACTTGCATGTGATCGACTGGTAACACATGAAGTTAATAATGGTCGAAAACATCCAACGTCCAAAATAGAACAATTAGTACATTTGTACTTATAGTAATTAGAGAACCTTCCCCAACATAAATTTTTTACCATTATTATTATAACAACAAGTAGAACTTTGGTTAACAGCTTAATTTTTAATAGTAATAGACCATCCGATCAACTGCACATTTAAGCGCGTTGTTTGGTACAGTAATCTGACAATTTGGTACATTATTTTGACCATTTGGTAATACATATCTAGAATAGTTTTACCAATGTCCCAAAAACATGTATCAATTAGCAATGAAGTCAACTTTGATTTTTGAAAAGCTAAATTTTTTAAATTAGCTTTATTAATAAATATAGGTAAATGTTTTTCTTTCTTGCATATATAGGCGCGCTCTTAAGTCTAATCAAGTTATAATAAAGTTCAAATAGCATAACCTCTTGCTTGTAAAATTGACTAATGGTTTTGCAAAAGAAAGTTATTATTGTTTTGACTCCCCTCATAGAATGGTCTAACCGGAAAGAAATCTCGATTGATACACCGCCTCGTGACTCTGTGTAACTTTTCCCGTCGATTCTGTTGTGAAAAATAAAATCATAACCTCCATTTTTAATCGCGTAATCCTTCCAAATAATCTCTTTTATTAAATCAAATATATTAACATAACTGTAATTATTGGTATAATCCCCTAGAGATTTAATAGAAAGATCCTTTTACATCGAAGAAACTTCAGTCAACGTATTAATTCTGTCCAATATTTGAAACTCAATAGATCGGATAGGCGTAACAATAGCGATAGAATTGTTCTATCAAAACACAAGCAAACAAGCTTTTTTCTAAAGCATGTGTCTTTACACGCCCGCAAACAATAAAAAACTGTATACATTGTATATGTACATGTCTACCAACTATCCGAATAAGCTTTCTTTTTAATGCATGCATTTTTAGAACACACGCCACAACAATAAAGAACTGCATATTATATGTAATAAAAGTTACACATAGAATTTAAATTCATACACACATGTACACGTATATACATGGATAACGGCAACGATAATAACCGATTCACGCATTTTTCCAGTGAACTCAAAGATGGTGATCAAATACTCATCATTATAATGAGTCAAAAAAATGAGTATTGCTATGACTATTTCAAATACGAATTTATAACGATGAATTGTCTAGCTGAGATAAAGAAATCGATACTCTAATAAAAGAATATTATATATAAAAATATATTCGAATAGATTCCTTTTCGAAGTTTATCAACGTTGAATACGCATTCTTTTAGATGCATGCTTCTTTAGCATATAGCGTCCACAAACAATAAAAAGCCGCATACATTGTATATGTACACGTATCTACCAACCATCCAAATAAGCTTTCTTTTTAATGCATGCACTTTTTAGCATACACAGCCACAACAATAAAGAAAACTGCATACTGATACATGTACATGTACATTGCATATGCAATATAGATTTGAATACATTTATATAACGACAACGATTAACTCTCGCTTTCCATCAATCAATCGATCCGCGCATTTTTCCAGTGGACTCAAAAATGGAATCACATACTCATAATTGTAGTGAATGTACTCGTTGCCAAAAGAATGAATACTGCGATGAGTGCTTAGTTCACAATACTCATGATTGTAATGAATGTAATAAATGTCAAGGTGAATACGATAGCTATGATGATGATGATGATGATGTCCTATACTGCGTTGACTGTTATGAATTTCACAAACGAATTTATTTCGATGAATCGTCTAGCGGAGATAAAGATATCGATAATCTAATAAAAGAATGCAATAAATTTAAATTTAATTATAAATATAAAAATATATTCGAATGGATTCCATTTGAAAGATTTTCCAACGTTGAATATCTTACAAAAGGAGGTTTTGGGACAATTTATAAAGCAACCTGGTTGGATGGACCATTGGATTATGATAATAGAATTCCCAAATGGGATCATGAAGAAAATAAATTTACACGAAGAGGTGAAAGTAAAGTTACGTTGAGATCATTACACAATTCAAAGCAAATTACTCAAGAGTATATAAACGAGGTAAAAAAACAAACATTTTTTAACGTGGAAGTCGCATTTTGTTTTCTGATATGAACAAATTTTCAAAATAGATTCAAACGGGACTTGAATGCTATGATTACGGTACCATGATATCATATTACGGAATAACTAAAAATCTAGTTACAAACGATTACTTGATAGTCATGCATGCATTCTATGGTGAACTTTACAAATATAAATTGAGCTCTAAAATGGAATCAAATACTCATCATTGTGATGAATGTGCTATTTGTCAAGAAGATGAATACTGCGATGAATGTTTAGCTCACAATACTCATGATTGCAGTAAATGTTACAGTTGTCAAAAATATTACGGCTGTAATAACTGTTTCAAATATCACAAACGAATTTATTTCGATGGATCGCCTAGCGGAGATAAAGATATCGATAATCAAATAAAAGAATGCAATAAATTTAATTATGAAAATGAAAATATATTCGAATGGATTCCATTTGAAAGATTCACCAACGTTGAATATCTTACAAAAGGAGGTTTTGGGACAATTTATAAAGCAACCTGGTTGGATGGACCATTGGATTATGATAATAGAATTCCCAAATGGGATCATGAAGAAAATAAATTTACACGAAGAGGTGAAAGTAAAGTTACGTTGAGATCATTACACAATTCAAAGCAAATTACTCAAGAGTATATAAACGAGGTAAAAAACGAACACTTTTTAACATGAAAGTTGCGTTTTGTTTTCTGATATATCAAATTTTTAAAATAGATTCAAACGGGGCTTAAATGTTATGATCACGGCAACTTGATAGCATATTATGGAATAACTAAAAATATAGTTACAAACGATTACTTGATAGTCATGCATGCATTCTGTGGTGAACTTCACAAATATAAATTGAGCTCTAAAATGGAATCAAATACTCAACATTGTAGTGAATGTTTACGTTGTCAAGAAGATGAATACTGTGATGAGTGTTTAGTTCACAATACTCATGACTGTAGTAAATGTTACTGTTGTCAAAGGAACAGGACCGGCAAGGGCTGCGAAGATTGTTCCAAATATCGCAAACGAATTTATAACGATGAATTGTCTAGCGGAGATAAAGAAATCGATAATCTAATTAAAGAATGTAATTATAAAAAATATAAAATTAAATTCGAATGGATTCCTTTTGAAAGATTCACCAACGTTGAATATCTTGCAAAAGGAGGTTTTAGGTCAATTTATAAAGCAACTTGGTTGGATGGACCAGTGCATCATCATATCACGTACGGTGAAGATGATTGGATAGAACTAGTATTATGGGATCACGAAGAAAATAAATTTGTACGAGATGGAGAAAGAAAAATTGTGTTGAAATCATTACACAATTCAAAGCAAATTACTCCAGAGTTTATACACGAGGTAAAAAATGAACATTTACTAATGTGGAAAGGTGTTTTTTCTGATAAAATTTTATTTTTCAAATTAGATTCAGGTCGCCGTTAAATGTAGTTCTTTATATCACGGAATAACTAAAAATCCC